CCTCATTCAATCACCACTCTTTGTAGCGTGCGTGTTGCAATTTAGATTGCAATAGATGAAATTCTTTAAGGCACATTTGAGATTATATATCAGTTTAGTGTGACTGAAATTTTTAATAGAAATTTTTTTGAAAAAAATTTATTATAAAAGTGTTATTTTTGTAAATAAAAAATAATAAAATAAAAATAATGTATTAATTTCATTAAAATTTAAATGAAAAATTCCCACAAAAGCATCAATTATTTACAATGAAATAGATAAAATATTAATTTGTAAGAAATTGTAGTATTTTTTATAAATTGTAATGTTTGGTGCAATTAAAGTTTTTGCAGTTTAAAAGAACTTCCCACCAATTATACCAAACATAACCTATTTCTTTTTTGGGTGCTTATTGATCTAATGCATTTTTTAAAAGAAAAAAATAAATTTTTAATATTAACCCCAAATTTATCCGACAATTCCTTGGTGTAATCATAAGCTCACTTGCTTCATCTCTTCCGAACTGGCTAGAGGGGGGTTGAATATTACAGTTAGACTAGTAAGTTTTTAATTTTATCACCAACTTAATTATGTGCATTGGTCCCTTGAAAATGACTAGCAACAAATAAATTGATTCATTATTTTACTCTAAATTGTTGGGAGTTGGGGAATCATGTGCGCTTTTTTTTTTTTTTTTACATTAAACAATTGAAATTTCAGGAATCAAATCATCATTTCCAATCGAGTTAGGAAGGGAAATTACACCACTCTTTCTGTATTGACCAACACTTCTCTTTTCTTGGCCATCAATTGACCAACCCTTCCAAGCGAGCTCCTTTGTGACCAAAGTACACATTACATGTGCGTCTAACATGGCAAAAATCCCATGATGAGAATCTCGGAGGTAAGGCCACGTTCGCCATTGCTTTAAGCAAGTTTGCTTAAGCTAGCACTGCCTTACATGCCCTAAGCAATTTTTTTTTTTTGTTTTTTTGGATAAGAAAAATGGTTAAAAATTAGAAGTTAGGTTAGTACCTGCTCTTGGTAAAATTCGATCGCTAGTCATGGTACAATCCACCGACAATCCTATTGAGTTGCAGTGGCCACCAATGAGTCACAACAGGGGAATGCCATGAGCAAATTGTATCTACCACTAAAGCGCCTTCAATAAACTAATCGCCGCCTAGAAAAAAATGATAAAGTATAATGTTTTTGTATAAAATATTTTATATAATATGATGTCATTACATATATAAATCAATATGTATATATTACCAATAACTTATTGATCTGAGTGAAAAGAGTTTTATTTTCCTTAAATAAAATTTTGAGTTCGACTCTTATAAATAGATAAATAGACACTAGGAAAGCTTTTCTTTATAGAATTTGACGTGATTCAACTCTAAATTAATTGATTTTAAAGGTAATTTTCAAATATTAAGATATTAGTACCAAAAAAATCAATATGTATATATTTATTAATTTAATATCACCGTATATTATATAAAGCAACATATAAGAAACATTATACTAATTGTAGCATTGTCAGCAACCAAAATATATATGGCTTGAAGTGAATCAGCTTTCATTATAACTCACGAGCAACCATATCCTCTGCAATCTGTAAACCAAAACAAATAGCTAGGAACTCAGTAAAACAACACTTAAAAGATGCACTCTAATGGTCTATAAATTAATCCACAACCACCCAACATTTCTCTGGCATATTCATTACCGTAATTAATTACTCTCTCCTTAGGTTTTTTTCTCTCTAAAGTGTCTACTAGCCCTCTTTTGACTTAAGCATTGGAACCCCTAGAGTCGTTCGTTCATAGACAACCAGGATTTCAGTACATGAATTGTAATAAATTAATCTTTTTAGTTAATTATACGTAAAGATCACATATGTTGATATATTAATATATGTATAAATAAAGATGAGTGTTAGTGATATTTTTTTAACACTTACTTTTAAAGACTCTTTATATGATTGAATTGAGTCACATTAAACATAAATTTAATGTGATTAGTGATTAACGAGTAATGTTAAAATTAATATTTTTAAAATTTGAATTTATGTTTAATTACGTTAAATTTATATTCTACAGGATCCAATCGTATAGATAGTGTCCAAAGAAGAGTGTAAAAGCGAATGACTTTAGCATTTCTCAACAAAAATACCGTTGACACATGATACACACAGGTACATTTAAACTAATTTGAAGATCTATTAAGCCAAGCTGGAAGTTTCTGATCATTAATTTGAAAAGTTGAGGTGGAAGTCAAATGAACAAGCGAATTCATGTAATAACATTGTGGTTATACGAAACACCCAATGTCATCTAATGTCATCACGAACCTCACATTTTTGCCTTAATTTCTTCGTATAGCAAATCCATTATTTTCTGGGAGATTTTGAACTCGATATTTTAAGCGATTATTTTAAAAATGAGATTTTTTTTTTTTGCCAAACATTAGAATGAGATTTTCTTAGGCTACGGGCAAAATTGACAATTTCTTAGGTGGTGTTTTGATAGCCTTTCTCTAGAAGAAGAATATGAGAAATATAGGCAAAATACCAAAATCCACCCCCAAAGTTAGGCAGCAAGGACGGATCCACCCCGAAACAAAAAACGGAAACAAATCCACCTATAAAGTTTTCGATTTAGACAAATAACCCATTTGACATGCCACGTCATGTGACATCATCATTTTGTTAACTGCTAGTTAAGTCTGACTTTTTAAACACTATGGAACCTTAGGCGGCTATTTTTGTTGAATTGGACATGATTGCAGTCCAATTTCAACCCATTTTTTATAACATGGCATTTCATTTTTTTAACAAATGGACTGTTCATCTGCTCCAATGAGGCATCTTGAAGAGATCCTTGCAATATACAACAACTCCCTCTATGGACTGTTCATCTTGGTTGTTGCAGTGTGCACCATACTTTAGTCCAATAGCCTGGATCTTCTTCTTTTTTAGTACTTTCCCACTCCTAACCATTGTAGTTGATTTAAAAAAAAAAAAAACACTATAACTTCCATGCCTGCTCTAAGCATGAATTGTTCAAACACAATACTCCATAAATCTATTAGTGGTAGAGTGAGGTGAGTAGATATGCACCACAATTGCCCCACTTGGCTCTACTCCTTAATTTTGACAAGAATATACACAATTGAAGCATTGACTTTAACGTAAACCAGCTTTCCCCACCCAAAATCAACCGATTCATATATGGAGAATTTGGTCCATTGTGTTTTGGTGAGTTTCCTTTTAAATCTAAGCTTTCTTGGTCGGTATACTTGGATATTATCCATAGATGACCTTAAATACTCCTCCAACATCCCCAACCAAGCATCTAGAACCAGATCTATTATGGCGGGTTTGTTGTCTTCAAGGATATCACAGAAAATTGCAACAAACCCACCATTATATCCAACTGAACATCTTGAACTAGATCTATTATGATGGGTTCTACAAAATCCTTGAAGACAGCAAACCCAAATCTGAGTTTCCTCTATTATAACCAAAATTGCAATTTCAATTCTCATCAATTAATCTCAACACTATTATACCCAAAATCACACAACAAACCTGCAAAATTTGCAACTCCTTCAAGCCCTTATAACAGAGGAACACAAATCTCAATTTTCTTTGTTCTATGGCACTTCAAGCTTGTCAGGAAGCATGACAATATCTCGTGGCTTCTAATTTGGGTATCGTTTGGCCCCAACCTCACATGATGGAAAGGGTAGAAAAAGAGGAAGGGAGAAAGGAGAAAAGTGCTCTCATTGCTGCCGGCCTCTAATCTACTGTGGTTAGAAAGGGAAAAGGCAAATTAGGGAAAGGAAAAGAAAAGGGTATATTTGTAATTAGATAAGAGATGTAATTTTGACATTTAAATAAGACCTAGATGAGATGGAGATAAAAAAATGAGGTAAGTGCCATGTAGTTGTCCAACTCAACAAAAATGGCCACCTAAGCACCCAGGTGTTAAAAAAGATTCCACGGTGTTTAAAAAGTCAAACTTAACAGGCAATTAACAAAATGATTTTGTCACATGACGTGGCACGTCAAATAATGAGTTATTTGTCCAAATCGAAAACTTTATAAGTGGATTTGTCTTCGTTTTTTGTTCAGAGGTGGATCCGTCCCTACTGCCTAACTTTGAGGGT